AAAAGTGTTGACTGTGGAGCCAAGCAGACCAAAGCTGTGAACAATCACCCAATTCTTTTAGAGTTACACACACATAGAAATTCTTTTCCACTGATGTTATTACAAAACATTGTGCAAAAGTCAAACTTGTCCCCATTTCTAAGGGAAATTATTGTCGGTATCTGAAAACGTTCTTTAATTTCTGTTTCATTTTACCCTCATCCTCTGAAGTTCTTTACAGTGAACAGATCATGAAAAATGTACCCTATTATCTTCTTCAGCTAAATTCAGATGACTCTGTGAAAGAGACATGGGAAATCCACAAACCTTAGACAAGCAAAGTCATTGTTTTACTCTGTGAAAGAGACATGGGAAATCCACAAACCTTAGACAAGCAAAGTAATTGTTTTAATGGTGTATCAGAATCACAGTGTAGCATTTTTTTATTTAATAAAAGTAATACCTTAAAAAAAAAAGAGTTCCTTTCTCACCACATCCTCTCCAACATCTATTACTTGCTGCCCTGTTCAACCTGGCCGCTGTTACTGCAGTGAGATAGATGGTACCTCATCGTGGTTTTGATTGGTATCTCTCTTATTGCCAGTGATGTGGAGCATTTCCTTATGTATCTGTTTGTCATTTGAATATCTTCCTCAGCGAAAATTCTTTCCATGTCTTTTGCCCATTTTCTAATTGGTTCATCAGTCTTTTTCTTGTGGAGGCCCAGGAGTATTCTGTAAACTTTTGTTATAAGACTCTTGTCTGAGATGGAATTACCCAATGTTTGTTCCCAGTCTGTAAGTTTTCTTTTCACCCTGCCTCTTCCTTCTGCTTCTCCATGTCTGTCTTCTCGTCCTTCCTCTCGTCCTCCTCCTCCTCCTTCAGCTTATGCCCCCCCTTGTTCTTTCTCCTCCGTTCCTTTCCTTCTTACTGTCCCCCTCTTCTGCATCTGCTCCCTTTTCTCTTTGTCTTTCCTGATATATTTTTTTAAATTTTAATTTTATTTATTTGTGTGTACCGTCAAATCAGATCTGACTGGTACAGGAGGAGATTGTCCCTCCTTCCCCGGCAGAGCATCTGGTGGGTTCGAACTGTGTGCCTCTGGGATTGCAGTGCAGCTTCTTGCCACTAGGCCACCAGAGCTCCCCTTTCCTGATCTTTACATCGCCTGTTTTCTCTTGTCATTTTCATGCTTGACCTTTTCTTTTCTTTTCTTGTCTTGTCTCGTCTTGTCTCGTCTCGTCTTGTCTCGTCTCGTCTCTTCTCCTCTCCTCTCCTCTCTTTTCTTCTCTTCTTTTCTCGTCTTTTCTTTTTTATCCTTGTTCTTTTTCTCTTCCTCCTCTGCTGCTTACCATCATACCTTGGAGATTTTTCTAATCATAAAGATGGATTACATGAACACTGGGTGGATGAAAAAGAAAGCAGTCATTCCTAAGCTGGAGTGACTCTGTGACTGTTTTAAGTTTTCTTCACCTTTTGATTGATTTGCGTACAATCGTTCATGTACATCGTGTTTCATGCATGAACATTGTATGTTATGCCATCTTTACACTGTATTTCACTCATGAACATTATATTTTATATAATCTGTGTTATACAGATGACACAATCCTGCTTGCTGAAACTGAGGAGGACCTCAAGCACTTGCTGCAGAGTGTCAAGGACTGCAGTCTTCAGTATGGATTGAGGCTCAATATCAAGAAGACAAAGATTCTCACCACTGGGCCAATTGGCTGCATCAGGATGGATGGTGAAGAGATTGAGATTGTTCACAGCTTTAGTTTGCTTGGCTCCACAGTCAACGCTCTTGGTACCAGCAGCCAGGAAATTAAAAAAACATATTGAGATGGGAAAGTCTGCTGTTAGGGACCTCTCCAGAGTACTGAAGAGCACTGGTGCCACACTGGAGACTAAGGTGCATCTGATACAGGCCATGGTCTTTGCAATCACTTGTTATGCATCAGAGAGTTGGACAATGACTAGGAAGGATAGAAGGAGAGTTGATGCCTTTGAGCTGTGGTGTTGGAGAAGAGTATTGAATATACTATGGACTGCTAAGAAAATGAACAGGTTTACCCGTGAGAGGCTTAAACTTGGCTGCTCCTTGGAGGCAAGGAGTTTGAAGCTTCGTCTGACATACTTTGGACATGTTGTAAGGAGGGACCAGTCCTTGGAGAGGGACATCATGCTTGGGAGGGTGGAGAGACAGCGCAGGAGAGGAAGACCCTTGATGAGATGGATTGATTCAGTGACTGGTGTAATGGGGGTGGGTATGTTGGAGACAATGAGACTGGCACAGGACAGAGCAGGGTTTAGGGCTGTTGTACATAGGGTTGCTATGAGTTGCAGGCAACTCGACAGCACATAACAACAACGACAATTTATATATTGTTTTATTATATACTGTATGTAAGTTTTACTTTGGCTTCTCAGCATTCTACTGCAATATTCAGAGTTTCTTCTGACATCCTTCTTGGTCTTGTCTTCCTCCTCTGTCTTTGTAATGACCTTTTACATTCTTCATGGATGATATTCTTGATATCCTCCCACAGCTCATCTGGTCTTCACACATTAGTTTTCAAGGCCTCAAACCTGTTCCCACGTTGTTATTATTTTTACGTGCCATTGAGTCACCTGTGATGTGTAGCAACCTCAGAACCCTTCTCTGTCCTGAGCCAGTCTCACTAACTCCGACACACCAACCCCCATCGCTCCAGTTTCTGTATCAATGCCTCATCCAGGGTCTTCCTCTCCTGCACTGTCTGTCCAACCTTCTGAACATGATGTCTTTCTCCAGGGACCGATCTCTCCTGGCTGTGTGCCCAGAGTAAGGGACGAAGAGCTTCAAAATCCTAGCCACCTCCAAGGAGAGACTTGGTTTCACCCTCTCCAAGACCCACCTATTTATTTTCTTAGCAGTCCATGGTATGTTCAAGATCTCAGCAGCAGTCTACAAGTGTTATTTGCATGTTCCCCACAAGAAAGGCACTTACGTATGTCTTGGCTGAATTACCATCAAGCTACCTAATCCCTTTGTTGTTACCGGTGTGCACAGTCAAGTCACTGACCAGTCAGAGGGTTTTCAGAGGCAGTAACTCACAGACAAGGAGACTGATTCCTCTTTCTCCTGCGGAGTAGTGGGTGGATTTGAACCACCTACTTTTGTGTTTGCAGCACAATTCTTTACCCCTCAGCCACCAGAGCTTCCTGGCTGCAATCCTTTTGATGGGGCATAGACACGCCTCTTTCGTCTGGTCCTATCCAGCCTTCAGGTCTACAGCGAGACTGGCCACTACGGGCAAAGATGGTGGAGCTGTATCTCGTTCACCTTGGGCATGGTTTGAGGAGGAACAGCTCTTGGAGAGAGATCTCTTGCTAGGAAGTGTACACGGTCAGGTGAAGAGAGGAAGGTCTCACCCAGATGGATTGACACGGTGACGTCCACTGTGGGCTTGGCCGTGGTGCAGGATGGGCCAACATTCATATCTATTGTTCTTCGGATCCCTATAAATCGTATAGTCAACTTGAATGTACCCAACAATAACAACACAACAGAGTGGTGAAAGTCAAAGCCAAGGGCTAGAAAAGACCACTGAGTAATCCACTGTCACACCCACCCTGGAAGGCTTAGGTTCTCTTAACTGTTCACATCTTCCAAAATCCTGTTTTCGAGCAAGATCACATCTACAGGGACAGGTCAGCACTTCAACTCATCTTTTAGGGAGACATCACAAAGTCCATCATCATGGATTTGCAGAGAGAATCAGCAAAAATGGGGGGAAACCTTCCATGATCTGGCAGGACCAGCAGTTCCAACCACTCCCTCACCCACCCCTGAGGATCGAGGATCGTGAAGGAGTTTCAGGGATAGGTAGGGCTTTATTTATACCATGAGTCACCAACAAACAACAAAGTCAATGTTATCCTCACCACCCAGGTGGAATGTTGATGCACGGGGCCTCCGTTTTATGTGGAAATCCCTCAGGACTTGCTGGGCGACTCATTGTCCATCCACAAGGAAACTCTTTTGAGGGTTAATTCCTAGGGCCGTTTCCTTTCTGGTCGTTTCCAGGGTAGCACCCACAGTGATTTGGCACTCAGTGTCGGGAGTTGTGTCGGTAACCCAGACAGAGATGGCCGATCTCTATGGACTCAAACCTCCCAGCTGCTCAGTGGGAGGAAGTCAGGCACTGTTTTCCTCTGGGATTAACTTCCTCCCAAAACCCCTGGATGATCAATCGTGAGGCAGTCAGGACTCCATGCCAATGACTTTTTGACTTTTGACTAAGAGAAAAGGTTCATGATTTGAACTGCATGCACTAAACATCTGACAGTCTTTTTAAGTCATGATTTAAAAATACCAAAACAATTGTCACCCTATGCAATATTTGTTCTTTTGTGACTAAGATAATGCTAAGTGAAATATATCAGCCACAAAAGGACAAATACTGCGTAGTGCCACTGTTGTAAATTGGGACTGACATCAGGGTTGAGGGAAGACGGAGAAAGAGGGGAGGAATGATGCCTATTGCATTGAAACAGATGATTGAGAGAACTGTTTAAAAGGGATATATGACTGGGTATTATTGTCATGACAGGAGTCCAGGATGAAGGCTGCACAGTGGAGCAGACTTGGGGAGAGGGATTGCATAACAAAGAGTTTTTCTTTATAAGGAGATGAGTGAATTTTAGGGGACGGGGTGGGCAGGGAGAAAAATGCAACAATGAAAGACTGGAAACCCTAAGTCTCTGTAAACTTTCATAAAACTAAAAGGAAAAAATATTAAAACAAGAACTGTTGACATCCATCTTGGTCTGACTCTTTAGGACTCCCTGACACAGCACAGGACCGCCACCAGTCTGCCTTGGGGTCGAACCAAAGAGCTTTCGGTTCCTAGCCGAGAGCTACCTACAGTGCCACCAGGGGACCTTTCTACAGTTTAAGGGTTAGGGTGTCCAGTGGGTACTTATGGGGTCCACAGTCCACTCCACCGTGGCTCCCCGTATGCAGGTTGCACGTGCTACGATGGCATGTGGAAGTAGAGCTTCTGCAGGGCCGCCTTCACGTCCTTGCTCCTCAGGCTGTAAATGAGCGGGTTCAGGCTGGGGGTGAGGACGGAGTAGAAGACGGCAGCCAGGCGGCCTTGCAGCGGGGAGTAGCGGGCAGTGGGCCGCAGGTAGGCCGAGCTGCCGGTGCCGTAGAACAGCAGCACCGTGGCCAGGTGGGACGAGCACGTGGAGAAGGCCTTCCAGCGGCTGGAGCGCATCTGCACGATGGTGGCCGAGATGCGCACGTACGAGAGGACGGTGAGGGCGAGGCAGCTCATGAGGATGCAGCCGCTCACCGCGAAGCCCGCGTCCTCGTGGACCACGGTGTCCGCGCAGGCCAGGCGCACGAGCGCACCGATGTCGCAGAAGAAGTGCTCGATCACGTTGGGGCCACAGAAGGGCAGGGAGAAGGTGTTGGCTGCGTGGAAGGTGGCGAAGAGGAGGCCACTGGCCCAGGCCACCGCCACCAGCGAGGCACAGGTCTCGGGGCTCATGACTGCCCCGTACTCCAGGGGCCTGTAGATGGCCAGGCAGCGGTCGTAAGCCATGGCGGTGAGGAGGAAGCACTCCGTGGATCCCAGGCAGATGAAGGCGAAGAGCTGACATACACAGGCTGGGAGGGAGATTTCCTGCGACCCCACCCAAGTGGACAGCAGTGCTCGGGGCAGAGTGGTGGACAAGGAGCAGATGTCCACCAGGGAGAGATGTTTGAGGAAGAAATACATGGGCGTGTGCAGGCGGCGGTCCAGGGTCACAGCAGCCACGATGGAGGCGTTTCCCAGCACTGCGGCCACGTAAATGAGGAGGAAGACAGCCACGCCGAGGAGCTGCAGCTCAGGGACATCCGAGAAGCCCCGGAGGACAAAGACAGACACCGTCGTGTGGTTCATCACGCTCTGTCCTCGGAGAAATCCCTGAACAGCCAAGGAAGCTCAGAGGAGAGGACATGAGGGGGACAGGGCAAACCGGGAGCAGAGAACTAGGAGGAAAGGACAGAGGGGTTAGGGGCAGTTTAAACGAAGAGGAACTTTCTTTGAACAGAGTTGCTTTATCTGCCTTCTTGAGAGTGTTCAGATCCAAACACTTGAAGGCTATCAAAGGGAAATACCTACTACAGCTTCAAACTCAAAATGAGCACAAGTTCTGGGAGGCAAAAGAATGTGTTCTATGAACTCTCACTCAAATGACAATAAATGCTGAGTGAAATATCTCAATCACAAAAGGACAAATACTGCATGGTGCCATTGTTGTAAAATGGGACTGACATCGGGTTTGGAGGGAGACTGAGAAAGATGGGATAAATAATGTATACTGCATTGAAACAGATGAGGGAGATAACTGTTTAAAAGGTACACCTGATTAGGTGTTATTGTCATGACAGGAGTCCAGAACGAAGGCAGCACAGTGGAGTGGACCTGGGGGGAGGGATTGTAAAACAATGAAAGAATTTTACTTTTCAAAGAGAAGAGTGAAATGGGGAGGGGTGGTCAGGGAGAAAAGTGCAACAATGAATGAATGGAAATCCAAAGTCTCTGTAAACGTTCATTAAAATTAATAATTAAAACTTTTTTTAAAAAAAAGTAAGTAAAGAAAGTCAGCTGTGAGGGACCTCTCAAGAGTACTGAAGAGCAACGACATCAGGCTGGAGACTAAGGTGTGCCTGATCTGGGCTATAGTCTTCACAATTACGTGCTATGCATCAGAGAGTTGGACTGTGGCTAGGGTTGATAGAAATAGAATTGATGCCTTTGAGCTGTAGTACTGGAGAAGAGTGTTGACTATACCATGGACTGCTAGGAGAACAAACAGGTCTGTCCTGGTGAGGTTGAAGCCGGGCTGCTCCTTGGAGTCAAGGATTCTGAAGCTCCGTCTGACATACTTTGGGCATGTTGCAAAGAGGGACTGGTCCTTGGAGAGGGACATCATGTTTGGGAGAGTGGAGGGACGGCACAGGAGAGGAAGACCCTTGATGAGATGGATTGATTCTGTGAGTGGAGTGCTGGGAATAAGTGTGTTCGAGACAGCGAGGTTGACACAGGATAGAACAGCGTTTAGGGCTCTTGTACATCCAGTCGCTATGAGTCGCAAGTGACCCGATGGCACATAACAACAAGTAAAGTTAGAAAAAAGTGGCATCTCTCCAATTTCTTGTTGAATACCTCAGCAACCCTGATTCCTCTCTGCAACCTGGACTCTCACACTCACCTTTTCATATCACAGAATGCCACGTTTCCCCACTTGAATTCTCCTTTTACGCTGCCCAACAGAAAGACCACAGATGGATCGTTTTGAAGAATGAATGCTGATGTCTCAATGTTGAGATCCATTGCTGGGGGTGGGTGGAGTGGGAGCGGGGGTGTCGAAACTGACTCCTAACCGATCTGGTGAGTTTCCCGAGGCTGTAAATGACCCACCTTCCTCCTAAAGAGCTTCTGGCGGTTCCGTATCACTGCTGCCTTGGAATCAGTGCAGATCCCTACAAATGAACCCACCACAGCTCGTTCAGAGCTGGAAATCAGAAGACGGGGCACAGCCTGGAAGAAGTCCCTGCTTATAAATAGTTCCAGGAAGCCTTGTCATCTAGTGATGTTCGTCAACATCTCTCTCCACCCACTCCCTCCAACATGTCTGCGTCTCCACTGCTCATCGAACTAGGTTATGACCGACTCACCTTGGATTTTCCCCTAATTAACACAACACAGAAAACATTTCCAAAGCAGATCCTATCCACAGTGCTTAACTAGTTCTCTCAGGAGGTACCACACTAAGAATCCTAAGGAGAGGCTACATTTAAAAGGTTGTGCACAGCCTACCATGCATCTAGACACATAAATTCATAGCAGTAACTATAACACGCAGGTCAAGGTCTTTTAAGAACCCATTCCCCCGCACTTTGAGAGAGCTCTGTTGGCCTAGTGGATACAAAGCGATGCTACCAAACCAAAAGTGAGTGATTTTAATGTGCGGCCCTCAGGGCTGGTTTTAATTGGTTTTGGTCATTCTTCTAAGTGGTAAAGCCCTGGTCTGTCAGTTTGTGGTATAGCGGTAACTCATTTGCTGTGATGCTAAACACTGTGACACTGATGTGTCAAATGCGATAATGGTCACCCATGGTGAGACAATGGCAACAATATATAAACAAGCCTGGGACCTGCTGAGCTCTCCTCAAAGGCTGACCATTACAATTATTTCCATCATTCTTATTTAATTGGTATGGTGAGCAAATGAACCGAGAACTGGGCTATGGGAAGAAGTATTAGGATTGGAGGAAGAATCCTTGGCCATCCGCAATGTGCACATGAAAGACTGCTTGCTGAGAACAACGCTGAGGACTTTGATCCTCCAACTCTCCTGATAGCGATAAGCGACATGGTTAAAGGGGGAAACACGGACTTAAAGGTTTCCTTTATCTTGGATTCACAGTCAAGGCTCACGTGATCAAAGGATGGGGCACTGGGGGAATTTGGTGCAAAAGCCTCCTTTAAAGTTTACGCAAAGAGGACTTTGCTCTTCAGACACCTTCTGTCAGTGAAAGCAAATGTGGGCCGCACGGAGGCTGGAGGCGCTGGTGATGGGCCCTGCGGTGCTCACGGCCCCTCCGGTGCGCTCTTCTTTGCGGTGCGCACCGGCCCCAGGGGTGTGCTCTGGTCCCGGGGTGTGCGCTCCGGTCCCGGGGGTGCGCACGGAGCGAGGGAGGCGCCATCCAGAAGGCGCTGAGGGCCCAGCGGGCCGGGTGGTGAGCCCAGACCTGCGGCGGAATCTGGTCCCGAGCCGATCATGGACGAGCAGCGGCGGAACGTGGAGCCGATCACAGACAAGCAGCGATGGAACGTAGACCGGTCGGTGGGATGTGGACCTTCAGCCGACGGCGGACCCGTGAGCAGCGTGGACCGGGGTGACTCACAGCGGCCACACAGAGGCTGCCTGCCATCCGAGGAGGCGGGGTGGTGAGGTCTGACCTCAGGTCCGGGGATGGGCACTGGATTTGAATGGAGCCCTAGGTGCCTGCCTGGCGGCCTGGCCAACGTGACTCGCCCAGGGGCGGACACCCAGGAAGTCTGCCCATGACCCCGATCCTGGCTTCACTCAGTACAGCATCTCGAGGAAAGCCGCGGCTGTTGGGGTTCAGGGTCCTGCGGAGCGGGTGTGCGCTCCAGGCACCTGGACAAGGAAGGTCCCCAGCGCAGGGGCCCAGGATCCTAAATTTGTGGCATCCCTCCAAGGTGCTGACGGTAACCGGGGCGGATACGGCGAGGGTGGGCAGCGACATTGCGCCCCTAAACACGGTCCTGGAAATGGTCAGGGAGACCCCCTTCGCCTGGCTGACCGCGGACAAGGCCCTCTGCAGCATCCGGCGCAGGGAGCTCGGGGCCTGGGAAGCCACACCCCGAACAGGGCAGGCGCCTTCCAAGACCAGCTCCAGGATTCCCCACAGCTGTTAGGGGTGTGGAGAGTCTCCCCGCCTCACAGGGACACCTCTCTGCCGCTCTTTGCTGAACAAGAGGGGCCTCCCCTGTGCCAAGGTCCCCTGCAGCCTGGCAAGTTCACTGTGGCCGCCAGGCAGGCTGTAGTCCTGGCTGCCACCTTCGCCGCTGTCCGGTGGGTGGACTAGGGCAGCGGTGTGTGCGCCCTGACAGGTGGTGCTCTGAAGCCCGGTAAGGACAAGGGGGCCCCTGGCACGTGTGCCATTGTGTCCCCGTTGTGTCTCAGGGGCTGGAGTCACAGATGTATCAGTATGGACGCAGACAGGCGCAGGCAGGACTCCTTTAGAGGTCAGAGTGGAAGGGCATGTCCTGCAGAGGCTCAGTGCAGGCCTTCAGAGCCGGTGCCATGTTCCAAGGGCCAGCCTAGCCTCCCATGTGGCCTGTGTCCAGGGTCAGGATGCTGATGGAGCCTGGGTCCTGGCCCAATGAAGCGGACATGGCGTGCTTCTGACAGCAGGTCAAACCCAGCGGGTTCAAGTCCTGGGCTGGCCAGACGGTCATCTCGGAGCATCAAACTCGCACTATTACAGCTGTGGGGTCACATCCAGGCCTTCGGGGTGGTCATGTCTGACGATGGGAGGTGCAGCCAGGACACCTTTCCTGCAGGAACCTGGGCCTCACTCAGGCGGAGGAGAGAAGCTGTCCACGTCAAGCGGTCAGACGGCAAACTCTACGGGCCAAGTATCTGGACTTGAATGTTGCCCACATGAACCGCGTAGACGTGGAGATGGTTCCCAGCTGGGGATGGAGACATCTACACCCCAGATGAAGAGCTGCCCATGAGCGTGGAGGCTCGCTTGTCCACAGCCTTCCACAGGCCACTTGAGGACACATTTTATGGCATGGACATAAACCAAGGGTGGGGTGGGGGGAAAAGAGACAGCGCTGAGCTCCAGGTTGTTTCTGAAGAGCTATCAGGAGAGACAGTGGCCCCAGGGCAGCTGCTGGGTGGAGCTGCTTGCTGGGAGAGGGTGGTGGGGCCTGCGGGCCAGGCGGGGCGGGTGACCCAAGGGCGAGGCTGGCTTCCAGGTGTCCACCAGCGTCTCTCACACTCAGTTCCCACAGTATTGGTTTGAGTCAGCTTGTCCTGATGTCCAGCTCTCTCTCTGATCCCAGAGAATTTTTATAAGTGAAAGGACATCACCCATCCAGACAACACCAACAGCCAGGCAGGAGGAGTACCCTTGTAGCATAGGACCCCCCAGTTAGCGAACAGAGGGGGGCTTCACCCCTTACTTGTACTCACATAGGGTGGAGGGTGGGCCTTTATGGTTCTTTTTCCACAGTCAGGGAAGGCTACTCACTTGTTTTAAAAACAAAAATAAAATTGTAAAAATTTATAAAATGTCAATTTGTGTATAATGTTTTTAAAGCACAGACTGGCGATGAGATTTACCTGAGCGGTCTACATTTGCCCGGTACAGAACTTTTTACATTTTTTTCATATTCCAATCCCTTTGACCCTTGCTGCCTGGAACTGGACATTTTAAACTGGGCATCTAAATTCTATGTTTAAATATATAAACTGGGGTTTATAAAATGCACAACTGTTTCTTTTTTTTTAAAAAAAAAACTGGAACCCTTATTCACTGTTGGTGGGAGTGTAAAATGGTGCAGCCACTATGGAAGGCTGTTTGGTGCTTTCTCAAAATGTTGCAAATAGAAATATCATTGGACTCAGTAATTCTACTACTGGGAATATACCTGAAAGAAACCAGAACCGCCACCCAAGCAGATATATGCACACCCATGTCTATTGCGGCTTTGTTCTCAATAGCAGAGTTGGAAACAACCCAAGTGCCCATCAACAAACAAATGGATAGAGAAGCTGTGGTATATTCACACAATGGAATACTATGCTGCATTGAAAAACAAGGAACTCATACAATATTATTCAAGATGGATGACCCTGGAGGACATTATGCTGAGTGAAGTATCTCAGTCACAAAAGGACAAATACTGCATGGTGCCACTGCTGTAGAACAGGACTTACATCAGGATTGGGGTGAGAGTGAGAAAGATGGGATAACTTATGTATACTGCTTTGAAACAGATGAGGGAGAAAAGTGTTTAAAAGCTGTATATGATTGGGTATTATGGTCATGACAAGAGTCCAGAATGAAGGCTGCATATTGGAGTGGACTTGAGGGGAGGGATTGTAAAGCAATGAAAGAATTTTTCTTTGACTTTGCAAATAAAAGAGTGAACTGGGGGAGGAGGGGTGAGCAGGAAGAAAAGTGCGGCAATGAACAAATGGAATTCCAAAGTCTCTGTCAACATTCATTAAAATGAATAATAATTTAAAAACCTTTAATTGAGATTTTAATGAAAGTTTATCAAGAACTTGGATTTCCATTCATTCACTGTTGCACATTTTCCTCCATGTCCCCACCCCCCCCCAGATCACTTTTTTCTTTGGAAAATAAGTTCTTTCATTGTTACACAGTCCCCTCACCCCACCCCAGACCACTTTATTATACAACTCCTCTTCTGGACTCTTGTCAAGCCAATAATACCTGATCATACATTCCTTTTATACAGTTTTCTCCCTTGTCTGTTTCAATGCTCAGTACATTATTTATCCCCTCTTTTCTTAGTTTCTTCCCAACCTCCTGTCAGTTCTGTTTTATAACTATATTGTTATGCAGTATTTGTCTTTTTGTGACTGAGATATTTCACTCGGCATAATGTCCTCCAGGGTCACTCATTTTGTATAATATTTCATAAGTTCCTTGTTTTTCAGTGCAGCGTAGTATTCCATTATGTGAATATACCACAGCTTCTCTATCCATTTATTTGTTGATGGGCACTTGGGTTGTTCCCGACTCTTTGCTGTTGTGAACAAATCCACAGTAAACATGGATGGAAATGCACAACTCTTGAGCAAGCTTTCAGATAAACTGTACCTGGATTTTATATATTTAAAGAGGGACATGTAGAACTATTCTTTTTAAACACTTTCCCTAACACATATTCTCAGTACATATTTTTAAAATCTGTTTCTCTCATTATATGTTTGTAAAATTAGAGTTTAGATAAATAGTATCTGATGGCTAATTTTGAACTAGCATAATATGCTACCCCACTCCCCTTTTCATAATAGCCTGAAAATGTACAAGTGTTTAAAAATACAGATTTCCAATTTTTTAAAAAATTAAGTTTGTGCCTCAGTTCTCATATTCACTCTTGCAAGAACATGGAAAGAGCCCAAATGCCAAAATACAAATGAATAAATTGAGAGATTATGGTACATTCACACAATGAAATACTATGAAGCACCCAGGAGCAATGATTTTGTGAAGTATTACCTAACTTGGGAGGGACTGGAGAGCATTATGCTGAGTGAACTAACTCAGTCCCAGTGGGATAAATATTGTATAAAACCATTATTGTAGAATGAGTATAAGGATCCAGGAGGGATGGGAGAGGCTGGAAGCAGAGGGATGTGAATGTGCAGGGGGAGAGGGAATTAATCATCAAGTTGTACAGTTTGATGGAAGGGGGTGAGGGAAATTGAAAGGATTTGTTTGAATTTGTATTCAAATTTTATAAATAAACTAGTGTTGCTGTTTTTGTTGATTGCCATTGAGGCAAGGTCAACTCATAGGGACTCTATGAACAAAAGATCTCATGCCTTTCTGAAGCTAGCATTGTTTCTCCAAGTTCATAGAGTTTCCAGAGGCATGTGGTTTAGGAAGTGGATGCCACTCCTGCTTCCAAACCTGTTTTACGACTGGGAGCTCCACCAAACACTGTCCACAACAGGAAACCATTCTGATATTTGATATCTCCATGGCCCAAGGTTCAGCATCACAGCAATCCTAGGTTACTTCATACAGCACATTGACAAAGAGTCATGTGCAAAGTGGAAGAATGTTCCTCCAGATATAACAGCACTTGTCTCATTAAACAAGTAGAAAATTAAAAAAAAAAAAAAAGAAAAATTAAAGTTCAACGAAATTACTTTGAGGACTAAGGTGTGCCTGACTCAAAACATGTGTTTTGGTAACGTTACATGCAAACTAAAGCTTGACAATAAAAGCAGATGGCCAAAGAATTTATACAGGACAAAGAATACTGACTGCACCACGGATTGTCAGAAGAACAAACAATTCTGTCTTGGAATAAGATTCCCTTACAGGACAGGATGTGATTTCCCTCATGTGCTTTGAACAAGCTTTAAGGCAGTGCTGGTAGGAGGACATTACTTTTGATAAAACAGAGTCAGAGAAAAGAGCAAGAGATGGGTTGATATTTTGACTCTAACAGTGGCCTCAGACACAACAGTAACTGAA